TTTTAATGTGAATTTTTTTTATTCAATATACCTCTTATATGCTTTTTTTTTATATGAATATCAAGTCTGATCATATGACTTAACATGTTTCTTTACATGCAAAGTTATTATGAATTTCAAATTATATATGGTAAATTAACAATAGGCTTTAAAACCAATAACTTGTTGTTTTGAGTAGAAAGAATTCGATTCTCTTTAGATAAGATCTTAAATTTAAGTAACATGAATGAAAAAATAAACGTTGAGAGAGTTTCCTCTCAAATGGGAAACGTGATTCAATTTTAAATTAGTTAGGATCTAATGTAATTATCAGAAATCGAGAGATTAATATAAAAAAAAAACAATAGACTTTAAAAAATAGAGTCTTAACTTTAATATCATATAAAAATTGATATATAAATTTTAATATAAAATTTATATTTAACTTAAAATTAATTAATAATAAATAAAATAATCTTTTTTATATTATTCTCATATGTTTCTTTATTATAATATTTATTTTAGATTCTTTAACTCAACAATGTTTCCTCCCCCTTAAGTCATAACCAATTTTCATTCCTAAATACCTTTTTTGTTTTTTTTTGGCCATCCCTCAAATACTCTCTCAATATCGAGTATTTGTGATTATAACCAATTTTAAATTGTTTCAAATTATCAAGTTTTAATTATAAAAACAAAAAAATTAAAATATTTTGATATTTATAATATCAAAATATTTGGTAAAAATGAAATAATAAATTTAATAAAAATAAAACTCATATCATATTTTATATTTTTAATAACAATAATTAAATATTTTCACATTTAAAATATCAAAACATTTAAATATTGACTTTTTCCTATTCTTTACTCTCTGATTTGGAAAAATTATTTTTCTAGAACTTGACCAGAACTATTTGCTCTCGGTCTTTACGCTATAGTCTTGATCTGAAAGATGAAATGATTCTATCGGATAGACCTGCGAGTCGATAAGGTTGCTTTAAAATTAGGTCAAGTCAGACCAAAGTGAACTTATCAAAATTAATTAATTTTTTTTAATTTAAAATATTGATTAATATATTTTTAATTTTAAAATTTAAATAAAGAATAAAATTAAAAAAAATTTAAATAATTATTATTTATTAAATCATTAGATTAAATTTTAGTTTAATAAAATTTTTTGATTAAATAATTTATTAATATTTTTTCAAAAATAATTAAAAAATAAAAAATTTAAATTGAAAAAAATTCAAGTACACCCAACCTGATCTATGAATCTATGATGCATATAAGTGGGTCATGACTCATGGGTACACATTCTTAACGGAAAACTCAAAATATCTCAAAATAGGCTCCAAGCCCGATGTGACCGAACTAAAACCACTCTGTACCATGTGTGACTTTATTTTGTTGCCCGAATGGATAATTTGTAGGTAGAAAATATGGTTGTAGTAATAAATAAATGGAAACCGCATAAGTACTATTTAATAGTCTGCGTAAATACCATTTAATAGT